ATATTTTTTTTCAGCATGCAATGCTAATCCATGGTCTAGGGACCCTTAGAACCTTTTTCTACAGGTTAATGGCTACATATTTAATTCATTACTTTTCTTTCATTATCATTGAGCTTTTCTTGGTGAACTAAATATTTTCTTTATGGCCCGCAATGTTTCATTCTCCAAGAGAGGGTACTTGCGCTAAGTGATTATTCCAAAATGATTTTCAGCAATTTTTTTTTGTTTTGTTTCCCAGAATGTCCATTGTGGATATTGTTTTAGTTTGATGGCTACATATTTAATTCATTACTTTTCTTTCATTATCATTGAGCTTTTCTTGGTGAACTAAATATTTTCTTTATGGCCCGCAATGTTTCATTCTCCAAGAGAGGGTACTTGCGCTAAGTGATTATTCCAAAATGATTTTCAGCAATTTTTTTTTGTTTTGTTTCCCAGAATGTCCATTGTGGATATTGTTTTAGTTTGTTGACTGGAATGAGGATCCATTGAGCCCATATGGGTGTTAGAAAATTTACCTTACATCAGTATCACGCTCACAAGGATTAAAATTTAATTCTGTGCCCTGCACGGATTTTTGGGTTTTTTATTTGTAGGCTATTAGCACCAGTTTTTCAGCAAAGTAGCTGATAATACTACAACATCATTAGCAGGAAGCTGGATAACAATTGTCCTTGGCTCATTAGGAAACCCTAAAGCTGGAGCCGTGGCCTAAAAGTACTTAAGGTGGCCAGCATTGTTTTCACTTTTCCCTAGTCTACTTGCCTGCTCTCTTTCTGCATGATATACCCAGGTGCATTTAGCTCGTTTTGGATGAAGGAAGTTGATTAAGATTTGCCAATTGTTACTGATTTTTGTTTTCAGTAAGCAATATTTGTCTACTACTTTTTGAACCTTTGCACCAATGTGCCCAGTTTAATAGAAGTCTTGACTCTTGCTGGCCCTGTGCGTGGGTAGAATGGAAACACCAAGCTTCATTCTTTTGGGCTAAACCCTACTATGACCAAGGGTATATCACCTTTAAATTATTCCCCAGCAGCTAGGTTGGAGAGTGGAATACTAAACCCCTCTCCTTATTTGACCTTGCTGTGACCAATTGTGTGTATACCTTTAAGATAATTCCTTGTTCCCTTGCCAAATGAAGGGAAGGGAGCAAGTAGTCTAATTCTCCTTCTCTTTGTGCTGGCAACTCTATGATGGGGGGGGGGCGGTGGTAAGAGGAGGGAGCCAGAAATCTAATTTTCCTCTTCTCTTACCTGGGCATCTGTGACTGGGGTGTGTGCACATCTGAATGCTTGATCACTTCAGTACCCCAAACTGCAGTATATTCTTCTCTTACCACTTTTTCATAGTTTTAGGTATTTTAAGTGCATGCTTACCCCACTTTTGCACTTTTCCATCAAAAATTTTCTGCTTATAAGACGCATGTGAGATCTTTATAGAGGAAAAGGCAATATGCTACATTTTTTAAGAATACAGTAGTAAAGCAGTTAACATATGCTTACATAGACAAGCACATGCTTGTGCATGCACATACACCGTCCCCCCTTCATTGCAATCAGCAAGTTTCACATCATGGTGCTATAATCATTCGCTGCTTGATAAGTTATTGTTTTCTTAAGTTTGTTCTTCTCATATCACGGCTATCTTGTCCCAACTGATAAGTGCTTGCCTTATCTTTTAGGGAAGTCAATCTGCCCTTCATCCCCATCTCCATAGGGGTATAGAGCAATCTCCTGGCACTTTTACATCTGTCCTCAGCTTCTAGAACGTGGCATTTGCACTTATCTTCTAATGCACACTCATCATTCACACTCACAAAACAGAATTGATTTCTTTGTTACACGGACACAATACAAATATTTAAGCAATAACATCAAATTACAATTTAAACAAAGCAATCATTATCCCCTTTTACTTACTTCCCCATACTGATTTTAAAACTTAAAACAAAAACCCTAAGAATCTATTCCTGCCTTGGAATCAGCTTCAGACACAAAATTCTAGGTGATGTAGCTGTACCAATGGTAAGGTAAAGGTCCTTTCTGCTTTCGGAATAGATGGCTGGCGGGGAACACTGAGACAGATTACATTACATAAAGTTACATTTCATCTACATGCCAACACCCTCTTACTTTAGATGCTGTCACTGTATGGGAAGGGAAGTAAGCTATACCCATATAAGGTACCTATTATATTGATATAATTGCATCTACACAATTGTTTGTACTGGTTTAACTATATTGGTTTTTAAAACACCTCCTCAAACCTCCATAGTGGTTATATCAGTACAACTTTCAAGTGTAGACCAGGCCTATGTCAGTGGCCAAAATACAAATCTCACTCTCTTTTCTGAACACTTCAGAAACATTTAAACAAACTTAAAAGAAAAGTGGTCAGCTCATGGGAATATTCCAGTAGGTCTTGTCTCTCATTGTGATTCTGTGGATCTTGTTCCCCTTTGCGATGCTTACGGGAGAGGTTTCTAGTTACCCAAGTGATTTCAATTATTGATAAGTACTATAATATATCTTTATTGACAAGGTTGAAAGATTCCTCAAATATATGGCCTCTTTATCCTCCAGTTATGGATCCAATGATCCACTCATAGTCATTGCCACCACCTCTAAAAGCTCAATAAAAGAGTGCTTGAAAAAATATTTGATTAATTATCACATTAGAAGGAAAGGAGAAACAAGTGAACCTCAAAACATAAGCAGTAAAACTTCTTAAAACAGTAGGAATCATAGTCAGCAATTGCTGGCAGGTTGTAAATAACAATTACATTTGTGATTTCCCTTAGTATGTTCTCTAACAATATACTTAGCACAAGCAAGAAGTTTCAGGACCTTGCTTTTGCAAATCTGAATAATTCTAGTGTCTCTTCTTCATCGCATTAACTTTTTCTACACATACTTGTGCACAAGTTTTGTTCTCCCCTAAGAACCAGTAAATTCTCTGTGAAGAGTTCTGTTTCACATTTTGACCATTAGTTAGAACTAGGGTTGTCAACATGTAGTCAACTAAACAATTAACCAATAAGCCTGGGCTTATCAGTTAATCCTATCGACTACATGCACAAACACACACACACTCCCCGCTGCCTCTGTATCTGAGGCAGCAAAGAGGGGGGAAGGGCAGGAGTCAGTGCTCATGGTGAACAGGCTTTTAAGCTGGTTCCCCACAAGCACCAGATTCAGTGGAGCCACCTCACCCCCCCCCCATCCTTGTGCGGTTGCCCCTTATAGAGGCAACACAGAGGGTGAGAGGGGCAGGCAGGAGCCAGTACATGCAGGAAGCCAGCTTTCAAGCTTGCTGCCCATGCGTATCAGCTCCCACAGAGCCACTCCTCTTCCCCCCGCGCTCCCACTGCCGTCTCTGAGTCAGAGTCACCAGCATGGTGGAAGGAGGGAGGCAGGAGCAAACACATGGAGCCAGCTTTTAAGTCAGCTCCCCATGTGTACCGGCTTCGAGGAGCCACCTTCCCTCTCTCCCGCCCCCCCCCCCCCCCGTGCTGCTGCCTCCATCAGGACCAAGAGGAGGCTGCCACCGTGCAGCCTCTGTCCATGGTGGGCCCAGTCTCACTGCTTCAGAGGCTGCTTCGTGAGATGCCTGCACAGTTTCTGTCCATGGGGAACTTGGGCTCCCTGCAGACAGGGGCTGCTGCTGCCCTACACTGCTGCCTCTGTATCAAAGGCAGCCATGGCAGGGGGCTCCCTGGGAGTGGGACCGAAGCGTACTGGCTGCCGGCCCTTCCCCCAGGGATAAATGAATAGTTGCGTAACTGCTAAAATTTGATGTGGTTACACAGCCTGCACAGTTTCTGTCCATGGGGAACTTGGGCTCCCTGCAGACAGGGGCTGCTGCTGCCCTACACTGCTGCCTCTGTATCAAAGGCAGCCATGGCAGGGGGCTCCCTGGGAGTGGGACCGAAGCGTACTGGCTGCCGGCCCTTCCCCCAGGGATAAATGAATAGTTGCGTAACTGCTAAAATTTGATGTGGTTACACAATTATTCAATTAATCGAAATCTAGCATCCTTAGTTAGAACTAACATAAGGGTTCTGCTTCAGCATGATTTGGGTAGCTAGAAGCTAAGTTAGTATGAGTCTCTTAACGGGACACTCGGGGAGAGAGAGAAGGATAAAAGCAACAGGGAAGGCAGATGTGTGTCTTTGCTGGTGGCAGGATCTCATCTCCTTTTATCTTGTTTAGGTTTCTCCTCTGCCTCCTACTTAAAGGTCCATGTTAAAACCCACCACGGTGTTCCCCTTCCCCAGGTCTCCAGGCACCAGGAGCACATCCCGAATGGGGGAGCAGCGTTCCACTGCGTCAGGACCTATGGCATCAAAGGCAAGCGACTCCCCTGCTCTGCACTGTGCTTCTTTGCGCAGGAGTTTGTGTTGTGTGGGGCACGGCTGGGTATGGGAAAGGGAGGAGGGAATGACTGGGGAATTCCTCAGAAGTAATTTAGGAAAATGTGGAGAGTTTTCATAGCGTTCATTTCTATAGTTTATGCAAGGGTATCTCTGGGTACCTTTGGGGGGGTGGAAATTGTAGAAATACTTCAACTTTTGGCAGCTTCCTTCACTCTAATGGTGGAAAAGACCTGCTAGGCCGGTGGTGGTCCACCTGCCATCCATGGGTCATTTGCAGCCCATTGGGTTCTATATGCGGCCCAGGCGACATTTTGTTTATTGCTGCCCGTGCAGAGGGTTGACAGATTCTGTAGGTTTCTGCCCGCATAGTTTTTTCCTACCCGTATTACAAAAGTGACCCGCACTTAAACCCAGGGCACATGAAGTGAGGTGCGTGCTGATTGCACACCACACTGACTGTGAGAGCCGTGTGTTCCCTCTGCATCCAATTCAAGTGCTGCTGTGGTTCAGTTGGCGTATCCCGCAAATTCTAGGTACGCAAGTGCAGCTAGCAAAACTCCCCTATCCTGGGAGATTGTCTTGGTTATGACAATCTTGCAGCCCACTGAGATGAATGAGGGTCACCCATGCGGCCCGCTTACTAGTTTAGTTTCCCCCTCACTGAGTTGGGCCATCTAGCTCCTCTTCCTATGAGTAGATTTGTGTTTTGAGTCTTAACTGAGGGGTTGTGAGTTGAGAAGCCTAAACTTATAATTCAGTCTAGATATGTGTGCTGCCAAGATTCCCAGTTGCTCTTGAGATGCTCAGACACTAATTACAACCTCTGAATAGCATGGTTTCTAATTCCCGTGGATGGAAGTCTGGAAGATGTTTATATAAGAGGAGTAACATAGTCCATCTGTTTAAGTTCAGACAGCTGAAGATAGATGTTTTTAGTTAAATTTTTTTTTGCCTCTCTTACACTCTGGTAGAGAAGAAGGATAAAGATATAGACTGCTTCTTTTTAGATGTCACTAATATTTAGTTTTGCCTTAAAGTAAGTTATTTTTCAGAGTGGTTAAAATTATTTAATTTGTAAATAGCCTCTGCAAAATTAGATACTAATATGTGTACAGTAACTTCCTTTTTGCCTCTCAGTTTTGGACCATCTTTATCCTTGGTTGAAGCTGGAACAGCAGGAAACCTCTCTCTGATATCGGAAGCCCTGGCTGTCCCAAAAAACTGGGGTTGCTTTTGCCCTGGAGATCAGAACAGAGCTGAGTTAAGCATACCTTGTGCTCTGTCTTGTGCTGATGGGATGTCATAGTTGTATAGCTTTCTTTCCATGGAGGTCCTCACAGAGTTGCTACAGAAGCTCCTTGATTGTGTGTTGATTTAAAAAGATTTTTTTCTCCATAGGCCAGTGGGATATTGATTTCGTGCATGTCCTGTTTTGATTACTAATGCTGATTTCACAGGTCTCAGAGGGGTAGCCAGGTTAGTCTATCTGTAAAAACAATGAGTCCTGTAGCACCTTAAAGATGTGCATGTCCTGTTTTGATTGCTAATGCTGATTCCACAAGTCTCAGAGGGGTAGCTATGTTAGTCTGTATCTGTTTAAAAAAAAAAAAGAGGAATCCTGTAGCACCTTAAAGACTACTGTAAAAACAATGAGTCCTGTAGCACCTTAAAGACTAGCAGATGTATCTGGACATCAGCTTTCATGGGTCAAAACCATTGTCAGATGTATATGACAAGTGTTTTGACCCATGAAAGCTGATGACCAAATAAATCTGTTCGTCTTTAAGATGCCACAGGACTTCTCTTCTGATTCCCAGAAAGACTGCCTTCTGAAACATGACAAATAATGCTTTGGCTTTTCAGGGTTAGGAAAGAATGAAGTTTGTATTCTAAGATTTGTTTGGGGAGTACATCTGGGATTTCCATGTTTGTACAGATGCTCTAAGAGGATCATAGAAGAGCTTTCTTGGTATACAACCAGAATAGGATGGGGAACCTCAAATATACCAGTGACCAGTAACTGAGAATAATGCCTTTTATATTGAGACTGTATAATTCTGCATCTCCAGGAGCGGATCTTGGTGAAAAAATATGTCCAGATTTCTTCATCTTTTTCCCTAATAGTTGTACACTGTTAAACAGTTCTTAGAATCCACCCATAAGTGCCTGCTTCATTTCAGTGCTGGGTGACGTGACTTCAAGCATCTAAACATGCATGACAGTATCTTTGGTTGAACCTCAGAGTTACAAACACTTTGGAACTGGAGGTTGGTCGTAACTCTGAAATGTTCGTAACTCTGAACAAAGTGTTAGGGTTGTTCTTTCAAAAATTTAAAACTGATTGTTGACTTAGTACAGCTTTGAAACTTTTACTATGCTGAAGAAAAATGCTGCTTTTTAACCATCATAATTTAAATGAAACAAGCCCAGACACAGCTTCCTTATCTTATCAGATCTTTTTGTAAACTTTCTTTTGATTCTTTTAGCAGTTTACACTTAATACAGTACTGTACTTGCATATTTTTTTCCTATCTGCTACCACTGCTTGATTCTATACTGAGGTGTATGGATGACCACGGAGTTCATAACTCTGGTGTTCATAACTGTGAGGTTCTACTATATATTTATATAGCGCCTTATACCTCAACAGGGGCATCATAAGGGCACTATATAAATTTAAGAGGATATTATGGATGCCTCCACTCTCATCTATAATAAAAACTTGGGTTACTGAGAGAAGGAGCACGTTCAGGCTATGCAGAAGAGGGACACTAATGCTTCATTTCATTGAGGAGTATATCAGTGAGGTCTGTAGCAGTCTGTCATTTTAGGTAATAGTGAATCAGCTGGTGACTACAGCTTTTACTTAAAAGCATTTTATAATCACTCTCTTAAGAGGGAAGGTTCTGAAAACTTGTCTTGTTGTTTTTCCATAGAAGGCCAGAAATGCTCACATTCGGACCCGATTGAGAGCTCTGATTCCTATGGAGACCTCTCTGATGCCAGTGACCTCAAGACTCCTGAGAAACAGAGTGCCAATGGGTCGTTCTCCTGCGATATGGCAGTCACCAAAAACAAAATGGAGCCGGAGGGAGAGAAGAAGTACCCCTGCCCCGAATGTGGCAGCTTTTTCAGATCCAAGTCTTACCTGAACAAACATATACAGAAAGTCCACGTCAGAGCCCTTGGGGGCCCATTGGGGGACCTGGGTCCTGCTCTGGGGTCCCCCTTTTCACCCCAACAGAACATGTCTCTTCTGGAGTCATTTGGGTTTCAGATCGTCCAGTCAGCATTTGCATCATCCCTGGTGGATCCAGAGGTCGACCAGCAACCAATGGGGCCAGAGGGGAAATGAGACCCATTTAACCTTAACCAATCAAAGCAGCTGTCTGATTATACCTATAAGACGCTGTGAATGAGAGAAGAAATAATGAAATTTGCTTCTATAGTTGAGAAATTTGTATTCATTTTAGCTCCCTTCCCTGTCTACTTCTCCTTAGACCTTCTTTAGGGAAAAGAAGGCTTCTTGCCTGACGATCTGCAGAAAATCTGCATGACCCTGAATGAAAGATGTGACCTAAAGTATCACATGGAGTGCCAGAGTTCCAGTGTGGTCTTTTTAAAAAGAAATAAAAGCCACCAGTGGTGGTCAGAATTGTAAACCACACTAGTGAACATCCATTATTGACTGCTCATAACATAAACAAAAGCCCTGTGGTACCTAGCAGGTAATGGTGCAGATGTCCTTTTAAAAATAGATTTTTAAGAAGCCAAAAGAATTTGGACCCTTCTGCTGTTTGTGAGGCTGTGAGTGCTAAACTGCAGGAATTAACCTGCTGAGGAGAATCACCATTCAAAACAGGTTGTTTTTATTACTTTGAACCCTTAATCTTGCTGTCAGGTTTTTAATTCTCTATTATTATTATTATTATTATAATTATTTTAGGACCTGTTGTAGTGAATTGCTACTGAAAAGCCAGACTAAGACAATATACAGAGCGCTCTTAAAGCAGCAGTCATGTTAGGGTTAGTATTAATTTTTTTAGATGTATCATAATTAATAACTTGGCTAGTTTAATTGTTTTAAGTCTATTGAAGAAATAGTTTTATTAAAAAAAAAAAAAAAAAAAAGAAAAAAAAACCAAGCTCATCACTTAACAAAAACTTTGTTTAGCTTGTTTTCATCTATTGGGTAAACTATCTGTACCACTGACTTGTTTAGTGTGAATAAACCCAGGGTTCACAGAGTGATTTTGAATTAATCAGATTGGACTGTATTAAAGAAGTTAGTATGTTACTTTACATCCCCTCGTTGTGTCTGGTTTTTGAGCAGTCTTAGCCACGTATCTGAAAGATGTGCAGTTGAGATCCAGGAAATAGGATACCAGTCCTCTGTCATGTACCCTTCGTGACCTGGACCTCTCAGTTCCAACACAGCACTTCTAATCCCCCTTTAAACAGCTTTGCACAGGGCATCCTACTTTTTTTTTCTTGAGAAGAAATGTTTCCACCCTCAAAAGGGAGGGACCCAAATCAGAGCAAGCCTCAGAAGAAGCAGCTGATACAAAATGTTATGGAGTTGAGGTCTACAGTATTAAGGCTGCATTACAGATGAACACAAATGCCCAAACAGAGAGGCTGGATAGCCTTTGGTAGTCTTCCACCATTTAACTTTTAATGAATTCTTGCTGTACCAAAACCCAAGTGTCAGGATGATTTATTGAACTGAACACAGCGTTAAAAGTCAGGAATCTCTTGAGTTAATCCTGGTTCTGCCACCGATGCTCAAGAGCTTAGAGTACAAGTTACGGAGCCTTAACTCCTGATCTGCAAAATAAAGATTCCTGACTTCACAATAGTGTTGCGAGGATTAACATAACAAAGGTTTATATCTTGCTTTGGAAAATGCAAGGTGCTTCTGTATGTGCTGAGAGTATCACTAATTCTGCCAGACTGAGTAGCCTGAGACCCACATCAAACTTGCATACAGTGGAGAAGATCGATGCCTCCATCTTTAATTCAGCATTGGGCCGAATCAAAATGGAGCATTGCATGCTAGTACTGCACTCTCTGGGGGGTCACAACTTTGTGTTGAAGATGAGAACTATGAATTGCGTCATAAAATTATCTGTACTCTGTTAGCTCCAAATCTAAACTGTGTAGCATAGTTTATCTGAAATAAGTTTTCCAGCTATTTTCCATTTGTGACAGTCATAATGCTTCAGGAGGGGGTGGTTTTTTAAAAGACCCCACAATCATGACTTCACATAAGCAGGAAGTTAGTTTTGTTTTTTTTGTAACATGAACAGTATTGAATATTCTCAACCAAAAGACCTGGTCCTGCCATGAGGGCAGGGGACTGGACTTGATGACCTCTCAAGGTCCTCCTAGTATTCTATGACTGAAAAGACAGATATTCTGAGGCCCACATTGTACAATGTAAGGCCCAACCAAACAGAGGTGGGCTGGTGTGTCATGCTGTTGATATGAAATTGATAAGTTACTGCTAATTTTGGGAGGGATATTGTTCTCCATAAAACCCAAACAAACCAGCCCTTCCAGAATAAATCAGTATCATCATTTAAAAAAAAAAGTATTAAAACCACAAGTGGCTCAGAATGAAAGTTTTCTATCTAGAGTTTGCCTTATTTTACATTTGCTGACCAGAAACAAGCTTTTGGCAAACATCTTAAAATCTTACTAATCCAGGCGTTGACCAAACAACTCTTGTGAGCTGCCAAGGGTTTCACCAAGAGTATGTCAAGATAGAGCAGGCTTTCCAGCCAGAAGAAGGGTAAGCCAGGACTAGGGACTGGCAAATCTGGAATCCTCACTCTTATTGATTATCCACATTGGAGGATTTGGGAGGGAGTAGGCAGGAAAATGTTGACAAAGGATATACACAAGGGCTACATCTAGACTGGCATGATTTTCCACAACATTTTTCTGTTAAAAGCATTTGCGGAAAAGAGCATCTAGTTTGGCACAGACACTTTTCCGCAAAAGCACTTTTTGCGGAAAAGCATCCATGCCAATCTAGATGCGCTTTTGCGCAAGAAAGCCCCAATCGCCATTTTCATGATCGGGGCTTTTTTGTGCAAAACAAATCTGAGCTGTCTACACTAGCCCTTTTGTGCAAAAGGACTTTTGCCCGAATGGGAGCAGCATAGTATTTCCGCAAGAAGCACTGATTTCTTACATGAGATCGTTCGTGTTCTTGCAGAAATTCAAGCAGCCAGTTTAGACAGCTGGCAAGTTTTTCTGCAAAAGCAATTGCTTTTGCGGAAAATCTTGCCAGTCTAGACACAGCCTGATAGTATATTGACAAGTGCTTTGTTCCCCATTTGGGAGCCAGCTTGCCGCTAGATGTGAGCTGGGGAGAAAGGGCAAGTTAAGAAAAATGAACGTAGTAAAAGTGCTTCCATTTATTGTTTTCACAAGCACTTCAAAATGGCACTCTGTTCACAATAGCATAAACATAGGGAGAAGTTCAGGCAAACTTCTGGGCCAAATTCATTCAAGTTCCACTGGAGTTAACAACTGGGATGAATTTTGGACAGTTGCGTCAGAACTTCACTTTGAGCACTGCAGCAGTGGATTTGATGCAGTAAAGGTGTAGCGCTCCCTTTTTAAAAGCATCACCAGACATTCTTCTTGTCAACAGAACTCTTAGTAGATTGAAATTAAATGAAAGCTATTTACTACCCAGGCACATGGACTTGAAACCTATTAAGTAGAAAGTTAACCTGTAATGATTTTTCTGACTGGTCCCAATGTATGTGGTAGAGATTTACACCAATGGAGTGGCTGGGATGGGCTTACCCTTAATTGCCCACTTCAAACCTGGTATGTCTAACAATCTAATCTGTAATTGTCCACTTGTTTTCAACTGGCCTCCTGCAACATATGTTACACTTTATGCTTAACAATCTGTACCAGGTTGTATTTAATTCAGATATCCTGATTACCTTCCCCAGACTGGAAAAAGAACTCTCTGTAGCTCAAAAGTTTTTACCTTCCACCTGCAGAAGTTGGTCCAATAAAAGATATTATCTCACTTGTGTCTCTGTAAGCCACTTTGAAATCTTCAGATGAAAGGTGTTACAGAAACACAAATATATTAACTAATAGATTTACGGGGCATTGCTCAGGTCTGTAATTCAGGAATTCCATCAAGTGTATTTTGTTTCTTTATCCCTATAATCTCGGTTTCATCTTGATTCGGTCTCTTTCAACATTCACTCAATTTTGTCAATTATGAGGCCTATACTTGATTTGATTCTGGGGGGATATGATAGAGGTATATAAAATCATGAGTGGTGCCCCAACTGTGAATAAAGAAAAGTTATTCATTAGGATGCATTTAAGCTTCCTCAAATCCTTATTAGTCACAAAGAAAAATTGACAAAACACAAATGTTCTGGTTACCCTAAATACTGTTAACAAAAGAGACAGCAGCTTGACCATGAGGGAGTGGTCAAGGAGGAGAGGTAGTGTCTATAGCAGTGGTGTCCAACCCATTCTGAAGCAATAATTACTACAGTGAATTAGTCACACTCAGCTGGCCAAATAGCCACATGTGGTTAGTGTGTTGGACACCACAGTCTATAGACTCCCTGCCCTCTTCTGAAGAGTGTGGGTTCACTGGCTCACGCTAATGAAACTACTCAGAATGGCAGGGTTGGCTTAGAAGTTTTGGACTCTGAGAGTTGGCATGGAACAAATTCTGGCTAGCAGGGCCAAATAGTTCACCAAGAACATTTTATGATTCCTTGTGCCATCTGGGGGGAATTGTTAATTTCAAATGGGTTTTGTGTGTATAACATTGCTGATTTAGAACAATTATTTGTGGCTTTGTTCTTAGGAAATGTGTACTTCTAATAGAACTGAAAAGATCTGCACAGAAAAAAAATCACTTGTGTGTTTCTCTGTGATCTTATAGATAACTTTTTCCAGCTTTTTCTATTTCCCTCCCAATCCCTGGGTGCAATACTTGTGTAAATCAAAAAACTTAAAAAATAACGGATAGTCTTGCAGCAGCACCTTAGAGACTAAAAAAAATGTAGATGGTGTCATGAGCTTTTGTGGGCACAACCCACTTCTTCAGATGAAATAGAAACTCTCCTTCGAAAGAGCTTTCCTTCTCACCTCATTTGGTGACACTTACAGACCAGTTTTTGAGATTCCACAGTTTATTTGCAAGAGACAGGGACTGATACCACAAACACTGGAACACAGTGTCACTCAGGTATTAGGGTGAGACTAACAAAAGAAAAAAGTTCAGTTATTCATATCTTGGCAATCAAAAATACCTGTATTACAGTATTGCCTCAAACTTCCTAACAGAAGGGGAACGTGTACAAATATAGGAGACAGTTTGTTCTCCAAAGATCTGTATAACAAAGATAGTCTCAGGCTGAGAGAAAAGTAGCCTTATCACCATTTTCCACATGGATAACAAGCCCAGATTAAGGATTTAGTTCAGCAAAGCACGTAAGAGCTTTGCTGAATCGAGGGTCACACAGGAAGTCAGTGGCAAAAATGGGAATTAAAACAGGGCCTTCCAAGTTCCAGTCCAGTCCCTTAACAAGAAAAAATAAATAAATAGGATAAAATAGGCAGAGCAATATAGCCTTTTTAAAAGCATGACGATGGGATTTTAAGGTGGTG